AGTGTAGTCATGCCCTAATTTTAGGTTCCAATCCGACATTTGCCTAGGGCGACTGAGGAAAACTACAACAAACCTCAGTTTATCACGCATTTTGAGATCACTCTTCAGCAAAACAAGTTAGGATTATGTGCATAGCATAAGAGTTCTAGCACGTTCGCCAGAATTTGACCCGCAACTAACGTGACGTCAGGCGTTATGGGGCCAATGACATTTGCGTAGGCGGGGTGTTTGGCTGGGAGATGTTTTGTGGCTGGAGACAGTAGGAGTAATCGTTCCACGAGGAACAGTTGCTTCGACTTCTGCATGCATATCAACAATGTCCGTAATTATATTTTCTGATATAAGTGAAATCCGTGAGATTTAGAAGTTTATTAATTGCTGAACGTGAAATTTCAGATTCTCATGGCGGCAGATATGAAGATAACTTTTGTGGGATGTTACTCGTGAAATCTGAGGGAGTAAGAACTTGTGACATTCATGACAACAATTTCTTTTAATATAAATAACCTGCAACCTATTTATATTTGCATACGTCTGTTGTGAATCGTACTTTTTTCATAACATATATCAAAAGACAGCAATATTTAGATTCACCGCCGTGAAAACCTTAAATCCTACGATATATATCAAGTTATATGTACAATTTTAGTGAGCTCTTGAAAATTTTCCAGAAAAAATTGACTTCCTTAGCATTGTCATACACTGACCCCAGTCATTAAGCACGGATGTCACATCTCGAGGTTATATAGCCCTTAAATTTATCGCATGGGCAAGCATCTGTGTCTTATTGTTAACCTCTTGACTTCACTACTTCGCCGAATCCAACTCCCGCACTACTGAACGAGTTTAGTTTAAATTTGGCACTGAGCGGCGAACACCAATAATTGGCCGAAGAAATACATTTTGTTTTGTTTTGTTGTTCTGTTTTACACGGATCTGAAATATGACTTCATTCATCGATAACCAGAAAGATTTGGTACATTGCGTAAGATACAACCTAGATCTTATTAAATTCTATATCTTTTTTGAAACATAATTTTGTATTGTTTGAAAATAAATGTAGTATTAAAATTATTTGCTCTCAACTACAGGCCTATCTGTGCTAACCATAAACATGAACTGTGAATGATTTGGTTTAATTGCCTGCTGGTGCCATTTTCTTAATATGTCCAAGACATGCTCACTCCGGTGGTCTGTATTTGGGAACAGTTTACTGGACCAAACTGTGTTTTGCCTACGTCATTAGTTTGTTGGTAGGAGAACAAATGAATGTGCTGTGTAAATCATGGACATTACCTTAGACGGCGAGCTACAAATTACTGCCGATAGGAAATATTGATTGAAAAGAGACGCACAAGAAATGTTGTCTTTATATGTTCTGTATGTTTGTCGGAATCCAGAAACCCAAAATACAGACAGTATACGCGTTTATTTTCCTTCTACCAGCAAGCGATTTCCAAACAATTCGATAAATATTCCTACATTTTTCTCCCTATATTGGTGCGTAATTGACTTTCGCCATTTGTAGCCGTAGTCACAATCTCACGTACATATGGATAAGGCGTAACTAAATGAAATGTATATTCTCAAGCAGCAACCCAGAAGACTGCCATCTTCAGGATAAGCCCTTCCACAAATATAAATTATTGTGTAAAATGCAAATTTCCTCTTTGATTTCCTACTTTTCTGCTTCTTTCTGAATGAAAACTATTGGAATCGTTCCCGAACATGCGTCCTCATTTCACATTTAGTATCGCATTTCTTATAGCGATTCAGATGTAACATAGTTTTCATCTTAGTGAAAGCCAAAGATCAAAAAGCACGCATCTTATGTTAATCCCACTAGCCTCCTCACGTCCTTTTACAATTCGGTCGTATTCATCTTCAGCGTTTTCGTAGGCAAAGCACAAGAACTTAAAAAAATACTGCGTGTAAAGCATAAAAGTAGAAATGGTGGCATTATTGCGTTATTTCCTCTTGTCCAGATGCTGCACGTAGAAACTCAAAGTGTCTGTGTGTTATGAGCGCGAAAGTAAATTGTGTTGTCAAATGAAATTTGAACTCGCTACAAAGAACTTGCCACGGCTGCCTTGACGCCAGATGCGAGCTTGTTGAACTAATATTTAGTCATATCTCAGTTCCAGCCATCAGTAACAGATTATGAATGGGGATACGTCACAGTTGATTTGTATAATTCATTCAGAGAATATCTTGCTGGCAACGGATCAAATCTCCAGATAGTTATTTTTTCATATTTCATTATAATATTTCTTAGAACTGGCTGGCTTTATAACGCCAATGAGCATTCTGTTCTTTTAACTTGCAAAACTGTTATCGATTCCACAGCGGTCTAGGGATATGGCATCGAATTCATCCTTGTTAAACTGCGAAACTGTAAACGTGGCCTTCTTTTAGTAAAAGCACGTTGATGTAAGAGGAATACATTTACCACATTTGTTTATTTTTAAACAGTTTTATTTATGTCACTTAACTAATATTTTTCTCGATCTTACAACCATAGAGGCATATCCATCAGTGATTATTATTATTATTATTATTAATAATAATACATGTGGCACTTGCTAAAAACAATATGTATTCCGGAAATAGCTGTTGCCCTATGTACCTTAGGGACAAGGTCTGTCTCGGGTACATGGAAGTACATACCCCATAAAGTGGTGAATAGATGGGATAATAATAATAATAATTTATTTCAACGTGCTGACTGATCATCTACACGAGCCAATTCAGACAGCAAATTAAAATTAAACATAAAAAACAAGACAATACATGAAATAGACATATTAAAACATTCAAGTACGAAGTATGTAACAATGCTGATGGTAATAATAACAATAATAGCACTGCTATCGTTATTATAAGGACGTATTTAGACATAGCCCACTTAATTTTACCAGTGGTTGTTTATTCAGTGACGAGGCTCTGAAACCCGCGTCCTGCAACTTGTGTCTTGAAGTAACCTCAACCTCACAGAAGGCGTCTTTGATTTATTACAGGTTGGCAAGCAGTGGCTCGGCATCCAGCCTCTCGGAACTGCAGTTTCTGGCGGCGTCTCGGCGAGCCGCTGCCGCCGCTGCTGGGGCGGTGTTGCCCCCAGGAGCTGGCGGGGGTGCCGGGGCTACAGGGGGTGGCGTAGCTGTTCCACCACCACCACCACCACATCATCCCCCGGGCCCCGACTTTCACCCCGCGTACAGGCTCAATCCTTACATGGAGCATCTGTACTCCTCCCTCCAGCAGCATTCTAGTCCAGCCGCGTCCATCCACGGTCAGTAGCGCACAGTAATTAATTAACTTGTGATTGCACGTATGATATCGTGTTGGCCGTGTTACCCTGGGCTAACACTTTGAAAAACGAAAAATTAAAAAGTTTCTGTCTTACTTTCGTAGTTCAGTGGCGCTCCTTTCATTGGAACACAACATAATTGATCACATTGACTGCATCGTGATCCGACTCCAGTCAGCCAAGCGCTGTTAGCCATTTAGAAGAGGCTTACATCTAAAACGAGCGCCTGGCTGCCTACCTGGATAACGATGCATTTTATCTTATCGTTTCTCCTTTCCTCCAGTGCAAATGATACCACAGAATCACAGAAGCAAGGCACAAGACATTTTGTATGTAAGATTTGAGGTTTTCACAATGGTGAGTATGAAGATTTCTGTCTTCTGGGTTGCGCTGTGTAGTATGGGAAATGCCTCCGTCATCAGGGCGATGATTCATCGCCCTGATGACGGAGGCAGTATGACCTCTGAAACGTTAGTTAACATCGACCAGACTACACAGCGCAACCCAGCAGACAGAAATCTTCATACTCATCGCCCTGATGACGGAGGCAGTATGACCTCTGAAACGTTAGTTAACATCGACCAGACTACACAGCGCAACCCAGAAGACAGAAATCTTCACAAGACATTTTATTTATCGTTTTAAAAATGTGTTAGTCGGGCTAATACGATCAACACACCCAAATCTGTCATAATATCAGATTTATATACCTAGTTATGCAGAAAGATGAACTGTCGTCTTGAAAATACAAAGACCCACGTTAACGATTTTATTGGAGTCCGTGTTTCAGTTATTTAGACTGCAGCTTGCCATGAAAGACACTGGCGTTAATATAACACAAAGTAAATTGCTGAACTGTAAAACGCACACTATTAAAGAAACATGAATCTATAGAGTAATAGCCATTCCTGTTATTTTATACGAATTCGAGTATTCAACACTAACTAAAGAAGATGGATGGAAACGGCAGAATAATGAAGACAATAGAGAATTAAAACCGTGAAAGACAATTGCTAAAATATTTTGAAAAAGTACCAAAGACCGGATCCTGACAGAGTGATTCTTGATCTCGTGTTTAAACTAAGTGCCCGACAGATACGGAATGGGCAGTTTATTGTAATCGTGTAGCCAGAGGAGACCCAGAGCTTAATTAGTGACACTGATGATCACGAAAATTGTGGCGCACAGTCTATAAAGCATTCAATGAAATCGTGAATGCCTGTCACACTGGATATATCGCCTTCTCACATTACGGATGGAGAAAATGGATTCAACAATTCAATGGGAATATATTCAACAAGCAGTCTCATAGCCAAGAAGGGATCGTCCTCCAAATTGGGTTGGGGTTGGGCGTAAAGTTAAAAAAACCGTTTGCCACAAAACAACGCCCAAGACCAAAAATGAGTTGGGAGGTTAACACTAAGTAGCCTTGCCACACGTGGTGCAAAATTTGCACGCCTGTTTTTTTGAAAAACATTCGCAGGAAAGGGCAGTCGAATGGACCTGTTTCTTCATGTGGCCTGTTTTATATCCGCTCCGTATGTCAACGCGTCGCGTCGTATAGGATGTGCTTGATTTAGAACCTGCTCCATTTATCGCCAGAGTAGTGAATGAAGAACATGACCCGCATTCAGCGTGTAAAGTGATAATCCGGAAGTGATATGATTCTACTCTACTACATGTTTTGTTTCAAGCGTCTAGGGGCCGTCTCGTTTTCATTGTTTCGTAAGGACCAAGTAGAGTTACACGTGTTCCGGATAAGTTTCCAGCATCTCCGGATGTGCGGGATGTTACAAAGTAGGCTATAGAATTTTGCCTAGCCTATGGAAATATGTACCAAAATTTGCGCCCGAGTTGTTAGCACTCCCGCTTCATGCAAATCTCGATCCGGCGAGTGGTCTTCTGGCTGAGGTTTTGACCACGACAGCTTCTTTCCACTTTCCCAACCTATAAACTATTCTGTCACTCTACGCTTCACTGCCTGAGCCACTGACAGCGTTAAATAAACTATCTGTGTGGTAAGCAAGTGTTGGTAGGTTCGTTGGTGACTATTTGCTAAGGCGATTTGGGCCTTTTGGGATACTTCGTATTTATGAATGCGTGTGCTGTTTTAACCGTCGGCATGGAAATGCAGTTACGGAATTTTTGGCCTCATAATATAATATTTATGACAATTTATTCATTTAATCACGAGATCGTATTACTTAATTTTCACTTATATGCTGCTTTGTGGAAACGATGCACTGAACAACGGACTGTTCATTCATCCATGGCCTGCTGTGTACATGTGTTTATATACAACGCAGCAGAACAGATATTTACTGATGTTAACGCTTCGCTAACTAGACACAAGTAATTATTTTAATTTTTTTATATGCTGCATTGTTACACTTTTCAATAAAAGTGTGTTTTTCGAAGCATTAATTTATATTTTTACAGTTGTACTCAATGGTCAATTTTCTAGTTAATTAATAAAATGTCCAGTTTATTCCACGTTACTTTCAGCTTTGGTCATAATAAATTCACAAATCGTGACGCAGTAACTATATTAGTTTCATGATGTCTCTGTCGATATTTGAAGAAAGACAGGTGTGACTAAAAAATTAATTTGTAATATGTTAAGTGACTTAAAGGTAAAAAATGTGCAGGTATAGTTTAAATTACCACTTACCTGCTCACTGACATGTACAGGTAAGAAATCTTGCACATTACGTCGCATAAAATAATATCAGAACTAATAATAATAATAATAACAACAACAACAACAGTTAAATTCTACAAAATATATATTATGACAATGATATTGATCACCCATCTCGATCAAGTTTAGGTGTAGTAAGGTGTAGTACCGCCATATCGATTCTCCACAAACTTGAAAGAGATACAGGTTGGGCGTTGTAGGCGTAGGTGGAAGGATAATATTAAAATGGATAATAAAGAGGTACATTCTAACGCTGTGGACGTGATTTGTCTGTCTTGTGAACAAGACAAACAATTATCGGATTCCATAAAATGCTCAGAATTTGGCCAGATGAGCGACTGTCTCTCATTAAAGCTCTTGTTCCATGGTGATATGTGAAATAGAGCTGGAAGATGGTTTGCGTTGTTTCTGTAGTCCATCAGGCAAGTTATGAAATGGTACCTTGAAAAAGGCAGTATTCACGTTGTTCTTCGTCCCTCAGAAGTCCTTTTGTAGACTTTTTATATATTTTTTTATTCTACTGTACATGACGTCTGAATTGTGTTCAGTCTTAGCTGTTACTTAATGTGTGTTCTTACGCGCACTGAAAATAGTCCGTACGCATTCGCAAGATATGCATTTTCTGCCGTACGTGATTAAATATAAGCCAAATCTGACATCTGTCGTGCAGAAGCAGAAGAGATTGTAGTTCGGTGTAGAGACTTGACACATGAACTCAAATAGTTTCGTCGTGCTATTGTAATTCTCCAGAGCTCGCTTTTTGAGTTCCTCCTGCTCACAAGTGGACGGCGATCACGCTTTCCTCCCTCCGGTCTGTCAGACTTTGATTGAGGTACAAAGCGTCTCTGTCGGTCGCATTGGAAACTAGGTAAAGTAGATGTAACCGATACTTTTGTTTATTCATTTGCTAGTGTTTTTTTCCAAAACAAATGGGGAATAAATGGTTTGTGTAGTCGGTATGTTAGTTGATCACAAGGTATGGCGGTTGTCTGGAAATGCCGCTCCTCGAAGACAACCGTATCCAGCAACCGCAAAATCGCTTCATGCCTTGCGTGTTTGTAAATGGGGCTCTAAGGCAGTGGTTATCAACCGGTGTACCGCGAGCTTTTGCCAAGTGGACGGCGAGGGAGGCCTTGAATAGAACAATGTTCTGCACATTAAGACAGACGTAACACGTGTTGAAAAAAACTATCGGTGGCGATATATATATATTGTGTTTTTACGAATTCTAATTCATTATCCTGATTATATTATGACAATGATATTGATCACCCATCTCGATCAAGTTTAGGTGTAGTAAGGTGTAGTACCGCCATATCGATTCTCCACAAACTTGAAAGAGATACAGGTTGGGCGTTGTAGGCGTAGGTGGAAGGATAATATTAAAATGGATAATAAAGAGGTACATTCTAACGCTGTGGACGTGATTTGTCTGTCTTGTGAACAAGACAAACAATTATCGGATTCCATAAAATGCTCAGAATTTGGCCAGATGAGCGACTGTCTCTCATTAAAGCTCTTGTTCCATGGTGATATGTGAAATAGAGCTGGAAGATGGTTTGCGTTGTTTCTGTAGTCCATCAGGCAAGTTATGAAATGGTACCTTGAAAAAGGCAGTATTCACGTTGTTCTTCGTCCCTCAGAAGTCCTTTTGTAGACTTTTTATATATTTTTTTATTCTACTGTACATGACGTCTGAATTGTGTTCAGTCTTAGCTGTTACTTAATGTGTGTTCTTACGCGCACTGAAAATAGTCCGTACGCATTCGCAAGATATGCATTTTCTGCCGTACGTGATTAAATATAAGCCAAATCTGACATCTGTCGTGCAGAAGCAGAAGAGATTGTAGTTCGGTGTAGAGACTTGACACATGAACTCAAATAGTTTCGTCGTGCTATTGTAATTCTCCAGAGCTCGCTTTTTGAGTTCCTCCTGCTCACAAGTGGACGGCGATCACGCTTTCCTCCCTCCGGTCTGTCAGACTTTGATTGAGGTACAAAGCGTCTCTGTCGGTCGCATTGGAAACTAGGTAAAGTAGATGTAACCGATACTTTTGTTTATTCATTTGCTAGTGTTTTTTTCCAAAACAAATGGGGAATAAATGGTTTGTGTAGTCGGTATGTTAGTTGATCACAAGGTATGGCGGTTGTCTGGAAATGCCGCTCCTCGAAGACAACCGTATCCAGCAACCGCAAAATCGCTTCATGCCTTGCGTGTTTGTAAATGGGGCTCTAAGGCAGTGGTTATCAACCGGTGTACCGCGAGCTTTTGCCAAGTGGA